GGGACCCTATCCAGAGAAACAGTGATTCCAGAGATGGAGGCCAAGATGATGACGTGGCAAGATGGAGTAGCTGGGGACTCTAGACTCATGGAAGGAGAGGTGTTGTGTGTTGGCGGCCGGGGGCAGGCTTGCAGAGTATGCCCTTTGGGTGTTTGAATGATTATATATTCCTGAGTGTTTTGGCATACATCCAAAAAACAACAACAACAGGGAATAGAAGCAAATACTGTTGAATGATGATGCATGGAGGGGATTGTAATAATTGCAATGAAACGAAATACCATAGGATAAGTGTAAAGCTGATGTTCTCCCATGTGAACTATCACTCAATTCACAATAAAAACAAACAAACAAACAAAAAACAACCCACAATCATTGAACATCAAGAACTATGTGACCAGAGTGCTAGCCAAGAAGATTCATTTTAACAAGGCTCAAGGTCAGGTGCAGTAGCAGTACACTGTGTGATGGATTTTGTCTCTTGGAAGAGGGCCTGGGCAGGTCCAGAGGACACTAGAAAACTTTAAGAGACGACCCACATCCCCAAATCACCTCCCTCTGTTACACTTCTGGCTCATATAATGGCTTTACAGTAGATTTCTGGTAACCAAGCTGACAATAAAAGGACCTGGGGGCTTGGTTAACAGATACAAATCCATCAAAATGGACTGCTGCTGCTCTACAGTCCCCCTCAGATAATTCTAAGAAACAAAGAAATCTAGAAAAGCATGTTTATAGTCCTATTGGGGTTGGCACACCATGGGTTAATAATGCCCACCACAAAGCACCAACCACAGAGGAGGCATTTGTGTATATCCCAATTATAGACAGGATGGCTTGTCATTGCTTGAGCAGAAAGTGCATGAATGGAGTACAGTGGCAGAGAGGAAGACTTTACATGGGCTCAACAAGAGCTTTATTATCAAGGCTGACCAGATAACTGCCCTTGGTCAACCGATGCTGTACCCAAGAGAGGGCAGAACTGACATTTACTCCAGTTGCAAGTATGTCTTCCCATACTAACCACTGCTGCCCACATCACTATCACTTAACAATGTCTGATGGTGAATATCAAATAGGGTCTCAAGACTAGCTGTATTTGCGGAGATCACAGCTTGTTCCAACGTTTCATATACTTCTCTCAGTGACTGCAACTAATTACACTTTTTAAGGGTCACTGACAGATGATTCAACGGTGCATGAAGTAATCTGAGTGATAAAAGGAGTAGATTATATATAGTATGGAGTTCTGGTGCGGCGTTGAGGGTTAATGCGCCAGACTGCAAAGCCGTTTGAACTGCAAGGTCAGCGGTTCAAGCTCACTAGTCACTCCTTAGAAACCCTATGCAGGGTCGCTATGGGTTGGAACCAACTCCACAGCACATAACAACAGCAACTCTGCTACATATCCAACCCATAGTGACCCTGTATAGAGTTTCTAAGGAGCAGCTGGTGAGCTTGAACCGCCGATCTTGCAATTCAAATGGCTTTGCAGTCTGGTGCATTAACCCACAGCGCCATACCAGGACCCTATTTAAATTCTACTAAGCTTTCAAAGCCCAGCTTAAGTAACCTCACCATGGTTCTTTATATTTCTCAAATGTTATGGAATTACGACTAGAAGCATTAATTTACTACTGTGGTATTCCTCACTTTTGTCTAGCAATGCTGGTGATTATTACATACATACATGTATTAGTTGCCATAAACAACAGCATTGCTAGGCAAAAGTAATGAATACCACAAGAGAAAATTAATATACATATATTGGAGTGTATACATACATGCACCATGTTGGAGTCCTTGTGTGGTGCTGTGGGTTAGTTTGCTGGACTCCAAGTTGAATTTGAACCCTAAGGTCGGCAGTTCAAGCTCACCAGCCGCTCCTTGGAAACCCCATACAGGGTCAGAACCGACTCAACAGCACTTAATAGTACATATATTACTAGCTATACTACAAACTGGAAGGTGAAGACCATGTACTTCCTTGGATAGTGGACAGAGGGAGAGGTGGAAGGTGATGGTGGTGAAGGTTTGGAAAGGAGATGATGAAAGTATTCATGAAATGTTAATAGCAAGGTAAAACTGCTAGAACTTAGTCCCTCATTGAGTGTTGGAAGCAAAAGATGAAGAATCAAACACATCACTGAGATTTCGAGCCTGGGCAACAAAGAGATCCATAACAGAAGAGGAGAGCATTATACAGAATCACACAATGATTTAAGTGGCAGATAATGTGAAGTCTGAGCTATCACAACTCAAGCCATACTATGCAACTGAAATATGACTTTAAAATATGAGTTTGAAGTTCAGAGAAAATGTCATACTAGTGATAGTTGAAGAAATTAATTTAGAGGTAACTGTTAAAATCATGAGATTAGGAAAGGTATTTTAAAGCCCAAGAATTAAAAAGATAAAACATTGAGGAAGTTCATTATTTAAGAATAAGGGTTTAAAAAAAAAGAAAGAAATTATAAAGAAGTAATTTAAGAAGTAAGGAGCTATAGTAGTGTAGTGGTTACGAGTGGGGTTGCTAATCTCACAGTCAGCAGTTTGAAACCACCAGCAGTTCCAGGGGATAAAGATGAGGCTTTTTGCTTCCTTAAAGATTTACCTCCCTCTGAAACCTTGTACAGGGTGTCACTATGAGTTGGAACCGACTCCATGGCACATAACTACCTCCATCAATTTAAGAAGCAGAACTTAAAAAAGCATAGGTTTATGGAAACCAAGAGAATATCATGAATGGGAAAGTAGCAATTAATACAGAAATCAAGTGTATAAAAATGAATCAACAATTTTTTGTCACAGATATTTTTTGAAAGTGGAAATTCAATTATCTGACAGTAGAAAAAGAACAAGTTAATGACATTAAGGAAGTAGACACAGCGAGTTTAGCCTACCATTTCAAGTTGTGGAAGCATAAACTACTTCATACAACTTTATATATGTATTTTTTAATGTAAATCCCTGATCATTTAAAATCTTTTGCCTGCTCATTTGAAGTGTCTAAAATGGACTTTAAAGCAACAACCCTGATTTCTTACTGTTATATCAGAATGGCTATGTTCCTCCTATTCCTACCTTACTGCAAAAACCAAAGCCATTTCCATCAAGTGAATTGATTCACAGAGACCATACCATATGTAGGGTTTTCAAGATTTAAATCTTTACAGGAGCAGATCGCCTCATTTTTCTCCCATGAAGTGGTGTTTAGTAGCCCAGTATCTAACTACAACCTTATACCACGGCACCTTTGCCTTGCAGCAGGTTCCTTTTATTATCTATGTTTCGAGTGAATTGTATCCTCAGAGATCTTTTATTTTAAGATCATGAATTCTAAAATATGTGCAAATTTCAGAATAATGTAAACATCTGTGGTTTTTCCTTTTCTAAATTTTATTTTGTTGTTGAGACTATACAGCAAAACACACACCAACTCAACAGTTTCTATGTGTATAATTTAGTGACAATGACCACATTCTTTGAGTATAAGCATTTTTATCCTCCTTTTCTGAGTTGTTCCTCATCCATTACAAAACTCACTGCCACCTAAGATTTTGATTTAATCTTGCAAATTGTTTGTCAATTTGATACAATATAGATATTTCTTAAAAGAGCGTAATACTCAAAGGCAGACCGTTTTTTACTAGTTAAGGTTTTGGAGTCCTGATGTGGTGCTGTGAGTTAATATGCTGAACAGCACGATCAGTTTGAACTGCAAGGTCGGTGGTTCAAACTCACCAGTCACTCCTCGGAAACGCTATACAGGGTCACTATGGGTCGGGATTGACTCGATGGCACTTAACAACAACAACAACAACAACAACAACAACAACCCCTTTGATGAAGTCATGTATAGCAGGCAGAATAATGGGTCTCCTGAAGATGTCCATGGAGTTCTGGTGTGGCGCTGTGGGTTAATGCGTCAGACTGCAAAGCCATTTGAACTGCAAGATCAGTGGTTCAAGCTCACCAGCAGCTCCTTGAAAACCCTATACAGGGTCACTATGAGTTGGAATCAACTCGACAGCACTTAACTACAACAGAAAGCTACGGTTTGATTTTTAAAGATGACAAAAGAGGGCATTTTTGGTTTAAAGTTTAAAGATTATATCAGGGCAATGTTTGAAGAGTTTATCCACATCATGTCTCCAGATGACCTAGAATCCATGATTATCTGATATTCTGTTCTGCATTTCTACGTCTTCATCAGCATTTTCTGTGGAACTTTTGATTAAATGGCAGCAGGGCACTACCCAGTTCTTTTGGGCTCATGGTAAAAGAACAAGGTTTTGGAGTCCTATTTGGATGGAGTCTTTCTCCTATTTCTGACTCTCTTTCCTAAGTTGTTCTAGATGAATAGGGACTAAATGTTGCATTTTTGATGGCCTCTTGCAAGTTTTTAGGGCCCCAAGAACTACCCAACAAATTAAGAGAACAGAAACACTAGACATGTTATTAGACCAATTAATTGAGATACTCCACCATTAAGCCATGGCCCCATATCTCCAAACCAAGGAATCAAGTCACACAAGGTAAGCAGGCTCAGCAAATACTTGTTCCCTTTTTTGTTGTTGTAAAAAATGTCTATCACTCAGCTTGTGGAATTCAACTTTTTACAGGTGTGCATCTTATTGACAGCAATTACAATAATCAGCTGTACAACTCTACCCTTGAAATCAATGCAATTTCTATAAATATTCATATTCATGAGAGAATAAACAAACCATTTAATACTTGTTTTCTATCATTACAGTGTAGTAAAGCCAGCATTGTTATTTTTAAGACAAATATTTTTCATTACTAAAGAGATTCAGTATTTCTAAGGATCAGTAAAATTAGAACCACTTATAAACTTACAAGGAAAATTTATTAAAGAAGTTAAAATAAAATTGTGGTATTATGTTATTTTTCAATCTGTTTTGCAGTGGTAATACAGAAGGACTATTTCCAATTGTTAAGAAAATCGTCATGTTTTTCTAAAGCCTTTTCCTTACCTCAGAGATGTGGCTAGATAAAATTCCAACTTTCTCAAAACAGCTTTGATCTATGCTTCCACCTCATGAATTCCAAGACAGTATTAAATTGGTGCATATTTTCATCAATCTGTTCAGGAAAAAAAGAACTAAACTTAAGACTGAAACACCATTTATTTATTAAGAATACAAGAATATTAAAAATATATCAGGTAAAATTAGACATTTCCTCACACACATCCACACACATCAATGAAAAGTTCTACTCTTATTTTAGAAACATCATTTTTACAACCTCTGTCCAAAACGTTTCTCATTTTGAGTATTTTCAACTTTACAAAAACAACAGCAATTCTGTGAAAAAAAAGTACTTAATATAAAACTTTTCTATTACAGGCAATTCCCAGGTTACAAGACAGTGCCTACTTGCCTTTTTGTTGTTAAGTTCCTTAGAGTTGGTTCCGACTCACAACGATCCTATCTAGGGTTTCTGGGACCTTTAATCTTTGTGGGAGCAGAAAGCCTAATCGTTCTCCTTGGAGCAGCTGCCAGATTTGAACTGTCAACCTTGCCGTTAGCAGCCAGTGCATAACCAACAGCACCACCAGGGCTTGAATGAGCCCTTGTTAAGTCCCATCAAGTCAGCTGCAACACATAGCAATGCTGTACACAACAGGGATTCTGAGGAACAGCTGGCAAATTGAGCCACCCACCTTGTAGTTCAAATTTACCTTGCGGTCCAGTGCTAATCCTACAGTGCCACACCAGGACTCCCACTAAATTCTTCATCACAATCACCTTCTTCACTTGCTGCAGGTGCAGCTTTTGAATCATTGAAAAGGCTGAGGGGCCTTTTCTTGCACTAAAGTAAGGCTAATTAAAAATCTTATACACATGTTGTGACTGACTTAGAAACTGGACTTATATAGACACTAGAACTGATCTCATTTATAAACTGGGAACTACCTGTATTAACCCTAATTTTTAAGATAAAAATCTCATCTTTAATATGAAAAAGTAAAAACAGCTGGGTACCAATAGGAATTGCTATTATGTGCCTTCGAGTTATTTCTGACTCATAGCAATCCTGTATAGGGTTTCTGAGGTGCAGTTGGTGGATCTGAACTGTGACCTTGTGGTTTGCAGTCCCATGTTGATCCTACAGCACACCAAACCAAAGGTCAAGTATAATGTCTACAAGACAAAACGCTATATTTATACAGTATTCAGATTTCTACTTAAGTAAAAATTGTATCTCACCACCTAACTAGTATATTTTTCACTGCTTACCACAAAGTCCCAGTAAACAGTACTAATTTTATTCAAACTTGTACCTAGAAGACATCAGGAATTTTGAACATTAGAATTAATGACACTTGTCTAAGTCCATGGGCTAGAGTTCACCTATGTTAACACTACCACTGTTTAGCACGGCACTATTTATGATACCGTTTCCTTAAGGAGGAGTGGTGGTGGTGTAGTGGTTGGCAATCAGCTGCTAACCGAAAGGTTGCTGTTAAGTGCCATCAAGTCAGTTCCAACTCATAACAACCCTGTAACAGGGTTTCCAAGGAGCAGCTTGTGGGTTTGAACTGCCACCTTGTGGCTTGCAGTCCTACAGTGCCACACCAGGAGTGGGTGGTTCAAATCCACCAGTTATTCTACGGGAAAAGATATGGCAGGCAACCTGCTTCTGAAAAGATTTGCTTTCTTCTGTAAAGAAAGCCTATGGGGGCAGTTCTACTCCGTACTATCGGGTTACTATGAGTCAGAATTGACTCAGTGATGGTAGGTTGATATCCTTGGTAATTAAAATAATAATAATGCTTCAAGCCTTAGGGTAAATCCAAAGGTAACAACAACAAAAAAGAAATTACATAATACTGAGTATCTTCTTAAAAGTTCAAGACCCAACCTGCCTACCTATCTTGTCACTGTTATCTCATATATATGAGGAGTCTTTTAAACGTTGGTGGAAAAATGAAAGTGAAAGATAATTAAAAGTTTTTCATGAACGTTTAAAAGTCTCCTCATAAAGAAGCGCTTGGCAAAATCTCAAATTCAGAAAACTTTTCTAAAGATTGGGCTTAATGAAAACCCACTGCTGTCGACTTTAATTCCAATGCACAGCGACCCTATAGGACAGAGCAAAACTGCCCGATAAGGTCTGCAAAGCTTTAAGTCTCCATGCAAGCAGGCTGTTGCCACTGTCACCCACAGAATGAGTGGCTGGGGGGTCAGGGGGGACCCACAGACCTTTCAGTTACTAGCCCAGAAAATGTGTTCACACAAAGACTTCTATTTCTACACGTGTGTTGATAACATTATTTGTAATATCCCAAATGGGGATCCATTCAAACAGCTATCAACTGGCGAAAGGATAAACACAACCCACAGTTTTTCTGAACAGAGGAATGGAATACTATGAAGCAATAAAAAGGAACGAAAGACTAAACCATATTATAACATGGATGAACATTAAAAGCATGCTACATATTACATGATTCCATTTATAGGAAATGTTGAGAAAAGGCAAGTTTAGGAGACTGAAAAAGCAAAGTTGTTGTTGTTGTTGTTAAGTGCCGTTGAGTCGGTTCCGACCCATAGCGACCCTGTACAGAGTTTCCGAGGGTGTAAATCTTTACGGGAGTAGAAAGCCTCATCTTTCTCCCGCGGAGCGGCTGGTAGTTTTAAACCGCTGACCTTGAGGTTCGCAGCCCGATTCGTAACCACAACGCTACCAGAGCTCCCTGAAAAAGCAAAGTAGTGGTTGCCTAAAGCCGGGGATAAAAGAGGGACATTTCCAGGAGTGAAGGGAAGGCAGTGGTGAATTGAAGTAATGTCTGCAACAACTTGATCAATTTACTACAAAAACTGCACTTTTAAAATTCTTCAATAATTCACAACTATGTACAAAATGAATTTCAATTTTTTAAAACTTTTTATTGTGAATTGAACGAAGGTTTACAGAACAGATAATCAGTCCCACATTCAACAAACCATACACTTCATGTCATTACAATGATTGCAATCCACTTCATGTGTCATGAGCTAACAGTATTTACCTATGTTGTTGTTGTTAAGTGCCGTCGAGTCGGTTCCGACCCATAGCGACCCTGTACAGGGTTTCCGAGGGTGTAAATCTTTACGGGAGTAGAAAGCCTCATCTTTCTCCCGCGGAGCAGCTGGTAGTTTCGAACCGCTGACATTAAGGTTCGCAGCCCGATTCGTATTTACCTATAGTCACTTAATTTTTTCCCTCTCCTTGCCCTGTAACCATCACAGAATGTTTCATTTAGCAGGAAAACCTTTCCTTAACTTTTTACAACAGTGGTTCCATGCCATATTTGTTCTTTTGTGATTGGAAATCCAAATTCTTTATGAGAGCGCTCACAGACAGTTATAATCTGCTTTCATCTAACTAACTTGGTTTATCGGAGTCCAATGAGGTGCCTGGGAAAAAAAGACCTACTGATCTGCTTATGAAAAATCAGTCAGTGAAGACCTTATGGATCACAGTTCCATGCGTCAGAATCCATTGGACGACAATTGGTAATCTCCTATAATTCCTATCAAAACTCTTCATGCTGGCCACATTTAACTATTTGCTATTTCTTAAATATATGCTAAGTTATTTAATGATTCTACCTCTTTTTGCATTTATTATTCTATTTCATCAAGCAAAATGTTCTTATCTTTACCTCTGCACAGCCAAGTTTTCATTTATTAACAAAGAATGTATTAAATATCATATTAAATTTTTGCTGAACTCTCCCCACTCCCTTATGAAGTTACTTACTGTGCTAGCTAATGTTGTTTATCAACTTTGCTTAGCCATGATTTTCAGTGGTTTGGCAGTTATGATGTAGTTATTCCATAATGAGCTATAACATTACGTAATCAGTTGGGAACTTAATAGGCTAAGTATACTTTCATCGAAAATCACAATGACTTCTCATTATTTCTGCAATATCCTGTGAATCTATAATTATTTCAAAATGTAAAAAATTTTAAACTCTACTATCTAAAAATAGTACTTTAACATCCCTTTAAATTGACTTTTTAATAGCGCAATAACTATTGAAAGGTGATTCAATGTTAAATCAAATAAAAATGGACTCAGGTAGTTGACAAAATATCCTGACTTGCCTAAGCGGACAATGCCCCTAAGAATTGTCTTTATGGAACTTTAAGTCTAACTCTTCTGTAAATTAAGCCACCATGATGTAGTGCTGTAGAATAAACACAACCACAGGGCTGGTGGTTCAAACTCACCAGTTGCTCCTTTGAAATCCTATACAAGTTCACTGAGCTGAAACCAACTTGACGTGGCACTTAACAACAACATTCATCAACAAGATACTGAAAGTACTTCCTTAAGTAAACCGGATAAATCAACCATCAGAAATAGGTTTCTTTTGCTTCCACATTTTATCACTAAAACTCAATCACTATAATTAACATCAGGGTCAGAAATGTAAAGGTAGATGTTTTGTAACAAAAGAAAAGGAGTGTACAACAATGAGGTACCATCTCACAACACCAGTAATAACAGCAAAGATCAAAAGAGTTGAGGTCAATAAATGCTGGAGAGGATGTGGAGAGACTGGGACACTCCTGCATTGCTGGTGGGACTGCAAAATGGTCCAACCTCTATGGAAAGCAATATGGCGCTTCCTCAGAAGGTTGGAAATAGAAAATACTATTCGATCGAGCAATTCCTCTACATGGTATTTACCCACAAGACAAACGAGCCACAACACAGGAAGATATATGCACTCCAATGTTCATAGCTGCACTATTTACAATAGCAAAAAGATGCAGACAGCCAAAGTGCCCATCAACTGAAGAATGGATAAACAAACTGTGGTACATACATACACACAATGGAGTAGTATGCTACCTTGGAAAATAACAAGGAAGCTGCATGCCACTTCCTAACATGGATGACCCTTAAGGACATTATGTTGAGTGAAGTTAGTCAATCACAAAAGGAAAAATACTGCATAGGACCACTACTGTAAAAGACTAAGAAAAAGAACCCATACTATTCCACTAAAGTGTATTCTTAACAGGTTGCTAGGGCATAAGGGTAGGGTTAAGGATGGAGGGGAGGGTGGAGAACAGGGC